ACAATAATAGAGGAAGAGGACAGTACAGAGAAAATTACAGGTGTCGCGGTAACTCAAGTCGCGGCCACGGTAACAATAACCTCTCTAACGTACGTGTAGCACAGAGCAGTTCGGAAAACTGTCAGACACATTTAGGTACCCAAAATTAAATAAAAAAGTACACACAATAAACTTTAGTCTGAATATGTTTGTAACCTTTAAAAACACTTCTACAAACAGTACTCTCTCATTTCTGCTAGACACAGGAGCAGATATATCACTAGTTAAAGAAAACTCAGATGTCTTTGATAACATCGAAAAAGAAAAAGCTGTAAGTATTCAAGGCATTGGACACGGTATTTTCACGTCCAATGGCTTAATCCCAATTGAGCTACAGACAGACAGATATATTATTCCACATAATTTTCATTTAGTCCCTAAAGATTTTGCAATACCATGTGATGGAATAATAGGAGTTGACGGAGTGGTCCGAGTATAATAGCCCTCTTTTATTAGTACCCAAAAAACTACTTCCAGGTTCAGACGTTAAGAAATGGAGATTAGTAATAGACTATCGCCAAATAAATAAAAAATTACTGTCCGATAAATTTCCCCTACCCAGTATCGACGACATTCTCAATCAACTAGGTAGTGCTAAATACTTTTCATGCCTTGACCTTATGTCAGGATTTCATCAAATAGAGCTAGAAGAAAGCTCAAGAAATATAACGTCATTTTCAACAAACAATGGATCCGCTTCACGCGACTGCCATTTGGTTTAAAAATAGCACCAAATTCATTTCAGAGAATGATGACAATAGCATTCTCGGGTCTAGAACCATCATAAGCATTCTTTTATATAGGCGATCCAATCGTCATTGGATGTTCAGAGCAACATATGATCAAAAACCTAATCAATGTATTTGAACTCTATAGAAAAAATAACCTCAAATTACATCCACAAAAATGTTCATTCTTTATGCACGAAGTGACATTTCTTGGTCACAAGTGAACAGATAAAGGCATACTTCCAGACAACAAAAAGTATGATGTCATCATGAATTATCCCGTACAACATGATGCGGACAGTGCTAGACGATTCGTTGCATTCTGCAACTATTATCGACGTTTTATAAAAAACTTCGTTGACTATTCACGGCACATAACAAGATTATGTAAAAAGAATGTCTCATTTTTATGGACAGACGAATGCCAAAAAGCATTCCTGTATTTAAAAAAGAAACTTATGGAAACAACCCTGCTGCAATACCCCGATTTTAGCAAAGAATTTAGCATAATCACTGATGCAAGTAAGCAAGCGTGTGGAGCAGTTTTAACCCAAAACTATAACGAACTCCAACTTCCAATTGCATTCGCATCAAGAGCGTTCACAAAAAGTCAAAGCAATAAAAGTACTACAGAACAGGAATTAGCAGCAATTCACTGGGCGATATTACATTTTCGACCATATATATATGGCAAACATTTTACAATTAAAATGGATCGCAAACCTTTAACATATTTATTTTCCATGGTCAACCAAAGCTCAAAGCTGACACGTATGGGGTTAGAATTAGAAGAGGGGGAGCAAGAACGCGCTCTCTCGCTCTCTACGTTTAAGAATTCGGTTAAGTTTGGAGTAATTGACCGTGTTTGGGAAGAGCTTGCATTACTTTCGGTTGCTTTGAAAGAGAAGTAAGCGTTGTTTCTTTGTACTGAGAGCCGTCTCTCGTCTTGCTCACGTTGACGTTGTGTGCGAACGTCGTTTAAACTCATTGCAGTCGATGTTAAGTTTGTTAGAATTTTAAGTGTATTGTATTATATTTATTAATTAAATAATCAATATAAACATTAGCGATTTTCATCGCTGAAAGCGTCTTTTCGCGTTGTTTTGGTTTACGAAACCAGTCACTGCACTTTTTTGGATATTATTGAATACTTTTTTTTCCCGGAGCACAATAAAATACACGTCTGCATACGGCGACGGTTCGAGCCAATTAAGTGGATTTTTTATTTAGTTGGTCGTACGTAGTAGTGTAGTGTATACTGATTGTAATTCTCTTAAGTCATCGCGGATAAAGATGGGCGTGTTGATGGGCGTGTTTGCAGTCGTTTGATTTCAAAATCGAATATAGAGAAGGAAAGCGCATTGCGCATGTGGATTTTTTATCGAGAAATCATATTCAGGAAGCCACCAAAGTTGAAAAGTCTTTAGTCCCTGAAAAGCGTGTAAACTTGGCAGAAATCTCAAGTGACTGGCTTGCTGCTGAACAGCGCCAGGATTCTGAAATTACTGATGTCATCAAAAAACTTAACTCTAAAGAGTTGAAATATGATGTTGCACAGACTTATGAGTTGAGAAAAGGTGTCTTGTTTCGTAAATTTCAGAGAAATGGAAGAACCCAAATGCATTTCGATGGTCAGTAATAAATCAAGTGCACGAGTCCATCATGCATTTGGGATGGAAAAAGACTCTTGATAAGACTTACCAATATTATTGGTTTGCTAAGATAAATAAATATGTTAGGAAGTTTGTCGATAGCTGCATTACATGTAAAACTGTTAAGGATTCATCTGGGAAGATACAAGCCGAGTTCCATCCAATTCCAGAAGTGAACGTGGCATGACACACAGTGCATATCGACATTACTGGAAAATTGAGTGTGAAAAATAATCTTAAGGAATACGTGATAGTACAAATTGATGTTTTAACAAAATTTGTTTATTTGTTCCATACTTTAAGATTAGATTCTGACAGTTGTATTCTGGCAATGAAATCCTCTATTTCTTTGATTGGAATACCGCAGTGTCTAATAGCTGATCAGGGTAGATGTTTTACTAGTGGGAAATTTTCAGAATTTTGTACATCACAGAAGATTAGGCTTCATCTTATAGCTACAGGAGGAAGCCGTCAAGGAAGGAGGAACTGTCAAGTTGAACGTGTGATGAGTACACTTAAGAATCTACTGTTAGCGGTTGAATCGAGTCACCGATCTTGGCAAGATGGTTTAGGTAAGGTACAACTTGCCTTGAATTGCACAGTTAGTAGTGCAACCAAAGCAAGTCCCCTAGAGTTGCTCCCCTTTGGGTTAGATATATTTTGAAGCCATTGCATAATAAGAGAACTTATAAATATTGTCATGAAGATTTAAGAAACATGCCAGATGGTTATATTCCGAGTGAATTGGAGTGCCCGCCTGAGACTTGTTGAAATGGTTATAATATATCCATGTGAGAGGATATATTATGCGAAAACAAGATGTCCATATAGAGTATGAAATGGTTGAGATAAAGTTGCAATAGACTTCGATAAGAAAATGTTTGTGAATGGGGGATGTGTCCGAGAATTCGAATGGAAATAAGCTGGCGGATGCAAAGTTTATGCATGGTTGATTTATGACAATATTTGATCAAAATGTATGAGTTAAAGATATGGTTTTGAGATTTGAGCTAGCTGCGTCATTGGGCAAGCACAAGTGAAAGACGAAAGTTGGAACATGGCGTGTGGCGCTCTTCACGGGACTAAGCTTCTAATCAAAAGGAAATCATAGTGGCAATAACTAGAGTCGAATTTTGAATTGTTGAGAAGGAAATGTAATGAATTAAAATATTAAAATTAATTGGATTATGCAATGAATAAGAATTGAAATTTGTTTATAATGGAGTAAAAGGAGTAAAAGAAAACACAAGCTATAATCATGGATTTATAAGTCATATTTGTAATATTAAGATTACAATACACGAGGACGTGTAATTGTCAGAATGGCCGTGTCAGATCTTAAATTATGATGGTCAGTGTAAAAGAATGTGCGAAGTGACAGTAAAAGAGAGATACGCACTATGATTGTTGTCCGTGTATGCTTGAACCACTGCGAGAGACAGAGATACAAGTATATTCGTTATAGCATTTTCTGGAAAGCATTTTCGGTATGCTAGAATGCTGGCGAGGACTCTCAAGTTAGCAGTGGTGTGATCAAGTCAATTCGCCATAAACAATCTGCGTTTTTTTGAATATGGAAAACCTTAACCCTAATCTAACACATACATGTATAAGAGGTTTGCGAAAAAATCACCTTACACTAACAACACTCTTGTTTAAAAAATAAGTAATACAAAAAAAATTCCGGAGATCTCAGCGCTTTTGTACGGGGTCGAGTTTTACTGGAAACTCTAGAATACAAATGCTACCTAACCCATGAAACAGTTGCATTCTAAACCTTGCATTTTCTTCAATAGTCCAGCATAGCTACGAAAACTAATCTTAGTTTAAAGACAATCTTAATGTCGTACAGTAAATACTGCGGTTAGGCGGACAGAAAGACGGATATTAATAGTTAAATGAATAAAACTCATGAATACCTTATATGATTGGAAATGCTTACATCTCCCTGTTACATATTTTTCCACGAATACGTCATTCTTCTACTCTACGAGTAATGTGTATAATATGGGTATTTTATAAAAATATATAAATTTGGCTTATTTTTAAACCATTTTGACCAAAAATATTGTAAATCAAACCAAACTTTTCTTATTAACATGCTTGTGAGTTTAGAGTACACGTGGCCGACTATTGAAATAAACTCTCACTGAGAGGGGTTATCCTCCGATACATCCTGTTTCTACTTATACTTGTGTAGTAATTGTAATAAAACCCCATTTTAGAGATCCTTACTTTTTTACGTCGAGTCATCTGTTGTTATCTAGGGAGATGAGGAGGTATGCTCATGTATTCAGTTCTTTATAATGCATTCCAAAATCACACACATGGTTTGTAAAAAGAAAAATACAAATAAATGTGTAGATTATTGTACATATATCTAAAAATAAACTTCTCAGTATTTTTCTGGTTTTAGAACCAAATTTATATTTGAGGTACCTAACAAACAAAATAATTATGCTCGCTTTTCAATTTTGTTTAAAAAGTTGTTTTTGTTATAATCAAAAATAAATGCAGTTCTAGCAATTTGTACAGCATGAAGATTTTTTCATGGCTGGGATGCAACCAATACTCGTCTGTTTTATTCACATGGACATTGTTTATTTCTTGTTTTCAATCGTGACAATAAGTTCTCTTTTAACAAAGTGATCAGTTAACGTCAGCAAATTCATTTAATTACATACTTTTTGCGGTCGTGCTTCAAATCTAATTTTGGGAACTAATTTTATAACGATTAGCTGACAAAATGAGCGTAAGATTCAAAACAATATCTTATGAAATAATATTTAATTAAATGTGATATCATATTTTATTTAATCGATTTCAAAACACCGTTGTACGACAGATCCCTAACATTATACAACTTTTATTGATAAAGCTAAAGTAGTCAAATATCAAAAGACTGATTGACCCATTACATTATCACTGCACATAATCGGAAACAAAAACAAGAAGAAACGCTATAGTCGAGTGCCGCGACTATAAGATACCCGTCACTGTTTACACAATTTTAAAATATTCATTGTGCTAGTGGAAATTTCTTCATAAATAGCGAAATAATGTTCCGATTTTAAAGTTCTTTGGTAAATCGATAAAGATTGATAGAAATAAGTTATATAAGGTCAAACGAAGGCATTCGTAATAATGCTAAAGACGCGACAGTTTTCCGGATTTGTGGGCGTTGGAGTGGGCGTAGCCAGATGAAAACTAAGGAAAAGTTGCAGTGGCATCTCTTAAATTCGTATTCTTAAGCACAACTTTCTAGCTCTTATAGTCCCCGGGATTGTTGAATTTTTGGTTTTCGGGTTTTGTGGGCGTTAGATTGGGCATGGCTTGATCGAAAATAAACAATTCGCATTGGGAGCATCATTAAAACCTACATGCTTAATTCGAACTTTCTATCACTTATAGTTACCGAGATATCAGCTTTTCTAGAAAATGCAATAACCGTCTTTTGAACTTGGTAGGCGTAATAGTGGGTGTGGCCGGGATATTGGTACCACCATAAAATGCGCTGGCATCTCAAGATTATAAGAACTGAATTTCAACATCCCAGCTTTAATAGCTCCTGAGATTGAAGCGATTTTAGTTTTTCGTGATTTGTGGGCGTTAAAGAAGGCGTGACCGGATGCGGTAATAAACTTGCGCTGCGTAAGGACCCCAAGAATCATGGTTCATCTCAATTCTGTATCTCTTATAGCTCCTGAGATCTCAGCGTTTATATGGACAGACGGACAGACGGACGGATAGACGGACGGATAGACGGACGATCGAATTCGCTATTGATACTGATCAAGAATATATATACTTTATAGCGTCGGAAACGCTTCCTTGTACCTGCTACATGTTTTTCAACGAATCTTATATACCCTTTTACTTTACGAGCAACGGGTATAAAAACAACGCTCTAATTGATTTCCACGAATATCAAATAACCGTTACTATGCTAACGCTTATGTTAAATACAGAAATTTAGACCTTGACTTGTGCCATCTGTTTCTAGAACCATATAAAGAATTTTAATTAGAACTAGGAGAATATGTAATTTAAAGTCATGGATCTATTATATTTTAAAACAAATTCTCTATATTTGTTGGGATAGAAACAAAAAGTATTCTTCCAAAAAACAAGAAGAAGTTTCACGCAGATATGTATATGTATGTATAAGTATTTTTATCCTGATCATTAAGGAAAACATTTCAAGTTGGTTTTCTCTTAAGTAAATTACAAATAAAGACTGTTGTACGCAAATCAAACAAAAAAAATGTATAATTGAGGTACCTAGCAAAAATGATGCAAGTTATGCTAATTATTTTGCTTACAAAATTGTTTTGTTTAAATTCTAAAGAGTTTTTTTTTGTTCATTAAGAATATATTGTTCAAGATCAGATTAAATCTAGATAAATCATTTCATAAAAATAATATTTCATATTATAAATGAAATATATAAACTAAGCTATAAACAACATTTTGGAAATCATTTTGATTATTTTATTTTATGAAAAAACGACAGGGCTATAAAAAAGCCTGCATCAAATTTTTTGAAATAATAATAATAATAATAAGTTTTTCCTTATAAAATGAAGCCTTGTAAAATTTTATTAATGCCAGAATCCATGAAGCATGTTTAATAACTGACAGTAATCAATAAAAATATAAAAAATATAATATAATATAATCAAAATATTTATAATAATAAAGACTTGTGGAATCTATATATTTTCACCTCGAATGTCATAATTTGTTTTTAATTTGTTCAGTAGTGACTAAAATGTTATAGATATTTTGTGAAAGCTTAAATTTAGAAGTTAGACTGAACTTTCAGGAATAATTTACCAAGTTTGAACAATTGAACAACTAGGGCTTCATGCTATTCTCAATAATACTCCATAAATATTACAAAAATGAGAAACTTGTCCAAAAATGTAAATTTATGATTTTTGGTGGAGGACCCAAAATTTTAAAGATATAAAAAATAGATAACGACTAACTTACAGTTTTATACCGTTTATTATATAGTAACTATATATTTACCATATTATTGTAATACAAGAATTGATCGATCATCTAAAGCAAATTTTACATCAATGTCTAAAACAAAATGAAATAAAGTGCTACAATTAAAAGCACATTACAGATACAAAACTTTTTCTTAAATAAAGATAAAAATAGTCATATAAATATTAATGTGTAACCCAACAAATACTAGTTTGCTGACGCCAATAACACTTGTTACCTGATGGACGGTAGAGAGTTTTAGGTAAATTGAGGATCTGCATACAGAACGACAGCCTATAAATTGGGATAAAAGTTCTTGATGCTCTAACTAAATTAGGATAAAAGTTCTTGATGATCTAACTGAGACTGATTTTAATAAACAAACCTTATATTTAAAAGTATAATATGCTTGAGCTAACAAAAGTATATATAAAGAGTCAATGGAACTAGTTAAATTTGGTAAGAAGTTTGCTTTTAACAGCCGAAGCTTTCAGAAGAAGAAATAATTGGTAGTCACGAGAGCTGATAAGGGATCCCTAGCCGGTATCTCTGTATTTACCATAAAAAAATCATAAACTTAATGTGCGGAGGCGCAGTCGTCAGTTTTGTGCACAACGGGAGAAATGGTTTGAACTCACAAAATAGCAAACCATATACCAGCAGAAGTCTCAGAACATCACATTCTGAACTACTCAAGGTATACGTATATTTTACTGCAACGATCTTCAAGGAGCAGAGACTATTGAAAACCTAAAATTGTAAAAAAAATACTTCTGCCAGAATTATCTTGAAGACTCTAATACTCATTCTGGCACAAAAACTTTTGCAACAGGACAGAGACCTTTTTTTGTGGAGCCAAGCTGCCCATATCAGAATCACAAAAAATGCTGCTTGAATTGTACAGAAAAAGTCTAATAAATAATAGAGGTTGTAAAAACCTCTAGAAAGTTGACAGCTAATTGCCGAATTGTCGATTTACAATCAGAAGCAGAAGAAGTATAGGTTTCCTATACGCATTAGTTGCAAACTCAACGCAGCACGGAATATTTTAACCCAAAACGCCACCAGCACCAGAAGACACCGGTGTTGTATAACAAGAGATGTTTAGTTGTTGTATCTTCATGCTGTTGAGTTCAAGTTCAATGAAAACTCTTGCAAGTCAGTGCAGTTTGGAATTAGGTTTTATAATAATCTTTTATTTGAAGTAAAATGTTCTCTTACCCTAAGTACATAAGTTCAGCGCGCACTGCGCAGCCGGTGCAGCCGGCAGCGGCGCGGCTGCATTATATATTTCTTATATGTATATACTTATGCTTATGCATATGGACATGCATGCTTTGTCTTACGTAAATAATTTAGAGTGAGAGAGAGTATTATACACTTATGCATAGGGCACTGGCGGTCAGCGTGCAAATGCTGACTTACAATTCACAAGTGGCCGATCATGTTACGCGCTCACTTGAGTTTGTTTTTGTTTATTGTGATTTGTTGTGGCTGCACAAAGTGTTGCCGCCACATAAGTACCAAACACAGTGTACACTCGATACAAGTGGTAATCACAGTGTACACCCGATATGTATGACATATGTGCATATTACATCTCCCTCCTTTTGAAAATAACGTAATATAGTGGAGTTATTTTAATTTATTGTTTTTAAATGTTTTCAAATTTAAAATTGAAATATTGGAAAGAATTACTTTGATTATACTTTATATTTTTTTTTTAAATTTGAAATTGAAATATTAAATTTGATTTTTTTTGTAGTTTAAAACGCAATTATATATATTTTTAATGTAAATAATAAAGTAATTATATATTTTTAATGTAAATAATAATAATTATATATATATTTTTTTGGTTGATCAAGCCGGTTTTTTTTATATATATATTTTTTTTCAATTGAATATTTTTAACCTATCCTTATGGACCTTGTGGGTTTTGTTTTTCTTATTTTTAATTACGACGTTATCTCTGTCTTCTATGTTAACTATTGTATAGGGTCCTAAGTATACTGGGTCCAATTTATGGCCAGTTTCGTTTTTTAATAGAACTTTATCTCCTATTTGTAGTTCGAAATCTATAGCCTTTTTATAATAATTTTCTTTATTCTTAGCTTTATATTTGTCGAGCATTATTCTTGCTCTTTTATAGGCTGATTCTAATCTAAACTTAACTTCTTTAGCGTAATCGTCTACGTTATATAAAGGATCTATTCTATTTATAGTACTAAAATCGTCTGGTAAATTATGAAATTTACCAAAAACTAATTCATATGGACAATAGTTGTGTGCCATAGAGGGGATCGTGTTGAAACAGTATACGAAATATTGAATCCATACGTCCCAATCAGTTTTATCAGCTGATATATAAGATAGTATATATTCATTGAAGGTTCTGTGACTTCTTTCGACTGTTCCAACGGTCTGGTGGTGGTGTGCAGTATATGTTTTATTATTAATCTTTAAATACTTGCACAAATCATTTATAATTGAATTTTTATATTCTGTTCCCATGTCCGTAATGAACGTCTTCATTGGACCGTACTTCAGAATAATATTTTTCAAATATTGCCTTTGCTACTGTATTAGCATTTTTATGTGGTATTGGATTCGCTACTAGATATTTAGTTAAGTCACAAATTAATGTGACTGCGTATTCATTACCATTTTCTGACCTGGGTAGTGGACCAATCGTGTGTATTATAATAATCTGTAATCTGTAATAGTTAAAGGAGTTTTTATATTTCTCGTCAC